TTTTATTCACAATTATCATCAATAAATTAATTAATAAATAATTAATTATAATTAAAACTAAAATGTATAATATTATTAGCATAGTTTAAAAAAATAGAAAGCAAAGATGTATAACACTTTTGAACACTTATATTTTCTAGAATACAAATGATATCTATTGGACAGAAAAAAAACTTCGGAATAAGATTTTTGTGCTCCTACACGCTGCTATTTTGACAGCACACTATAACAAATATTATTTTGTTATACTTAAATTTGTTTATTTTCTCAAATTTGTAATGCAACTTTTTATCAAATATGACAGATACATATAATATGTCAGTATTTTTTGCATTATATTTTTCAAATTGACTAATTATCTCAATACTTAATTATAGATTTTATTTTTGGTTAAAAAGGTTTTGACGGCTTTATTCAATTATAAATTGTAATAATCTTTTCACTTTACAACGTATAATAACAGAGTGTTAACAATTTGCAAGCAAAAATTATTTTATACTTATTAATTAATATAAATTGGTTATTTTTTGCCATTCATACTTATTTGAAAACTTCTTCAATATTTGAAAATGATTGATTACAAAAGCGATTTCCTGACAGTATTCAAATTTAATTATTTAAAATTACAATTATTTAATTTGATTGCTTCTAAAATGATTCACTCATTATGTTCAGCTTGTAACTTCTGGCTCAGTTTTTGATTCTGCTCTACTTTCTTATGCTTTTCTCTTCTTTACTACTTAAAACATTTAGCTTTAGCATGTTAAGCACACTTTCTTTGTTCATCTCAGCGCTTTTGCTTTTCAGTTATTTTGAAAAATTGCTTTAATCCAAAAAATTTTACTCAATTTTTAATAAAGTGCAGCATAGAGAAATCAAACTCATTGCTTGATTATTCCAAAAAAGGAATTTTAAAGCTTTTTGAAATGACCCCTATTGATGGCAGCGTTTTGGAAGAGAACAAAATTGGTTTTTTCGGTTGCTTAAGTTATATTCTTGGAAATTGCATTGGTGCTGGCATTTTCATTGCTCCATCGGCTGTAACTGAAAATGTTGGCTCTGTTGGTCTATCTATTGCTGTTTGGATTTTATGTGGATTGATTTCACTTTTAGGTACACGTTTACGTCAAATTATAGTCACGCTTACATATCATTCTTAGACGCAATTCTAATTTTCAATTTCCAATTTTTGAGCATTTTCCTCTTACAGATTCTCAAAAGTATGTGCATTTGAGATATAATATAAAAAATTATATACATATTGTGCTAATTTTTTATTTGTTCTTTAGAATATATCAAATTAAGTTTTAGTAATTTTTTGATTGAAATAAACTTTGTCAGTTATTTAAAAAAAATTTTTTCAACCAAAAACTTTGCTCTTTTTTACCTAAAAAGTGTCCATAACGAAAAATTCTTTTTTTATTATGATAAGGCATACATTAATGCATTATTAGGTATGGCTATGTAATGTAATATTTTTTTAATACTTTTATAAGAGATAATTTATTTTTATAGGTTCAATAGTATACATTGAATTGGGCACAGGGATATTAGAACCTGGATGTGACTATGCATACATCTGTTATGTTGGATGGTAAGTAAGAACGTGTAGGAGTTACGGGCATTCTTACAACACTTTATAATCATTATGAATGAATAAATAACAAAAAGTATCAGTACTATCTATACTTTTTGTTATTTTGATTCCTTCTCGATAAATATTGCTATAAAATATCAAATTTGAGAATTTTGATAATTTTTTTTAGTAAAATTATTTTAAACAAATAATCAATTATGCTTTTAATTTACTTTCTTCAATTATAAATACATTTTTGTACAGTACGTATTTTAAAAATTGTTTTTTTGAGTACAGTAAATTATTTCTGTTTATTATCAAATTTAGGAATTCAGTTGCATTTGCATTCATGTGGGTAGGTGTAATACTGTCTTATCCAGCGTCCACTGCTGTACAAATTCTTACTTTTGGTCATTACATAATTGATGGAATGTCGCAAAATATACATTTTGGACAAACGCTTCAGAGTTTTATAGAATGGAATTTAGGCATTATTGTGCTCGGTTTATTCCTATTATTCCAAAAATTCATTTTTTTAAAATCAAAAAATTTTAGTCTTTTTAATTTGATGAAAAAAGTACTTAACATTAATAGTTATGTAATTCGATTATTAAAGTTATTTAAATTTTTAAATTTAATTATAATACTCTACTGCCGCAATCAGTACATAAATTCTTCTATTTCACTATTATAATTTAATCAAATTTCCCTCATTTTATATTTTTCCACAATTATTTTACTATTTTATTCAAAATTGAAATAATTTTTTATATTTTGTATTAAAAATTGAAAGAATTTAGCACACATTACTTTATTAAAAACTAAAATAATTAGTTATATAATTAAGAAATCGCAGCAAATTAATTAACGTTTCAATTTTCAGTGTTCGTAACGTGGATCAATTTTTATTCGTTGAATAAATCAGCTGTGATTTTTCAAATTGCTTCAACAGTTGCAAAGCTTTGTGCCACAGCACTAATTATTGTTGCTGGCTTGTACTGTTTTTTTTTCAAAGGTCAAAAAAGTATTTTAAATATTTTCTTCAAATTCTTTTAATTAAAAACTTTTATTAATTTTTGCTTTAATTTTCGATTTTTTTGTCTTTCAAAACAATAAAATTCGCAATTTTTTGCTGAAAAATATTGCAATAATAAGTTATTGTCGTATAAATTTAGTAAAATAAAAGTTATTTTTTTCGAAAAAAATTTTTAGAATAAAAAATTTGAAAGAAAGATGTTTTAAATGTACTGTGCGATAGAATTTTGTCAGCAGTTTTTTAGGAATGAATGAAAATTTTATAAAACCTTTCGAATATAGCCAATTCAATATCAGGGATTTCGTATTTAGCATTAACGCTGGTTTTTACGCTTACTCTGGTTGGGACGTTCTCAATTACAGTTCGAATGAAATACGTAATCCATCAAGGTATATCGTTAAAATTCTAATCGGTACATGCATAAGTGTACATCTATTAATTTGTTAATTCTTAAATCTGTATGGATATTTTTTATTAGCTTTTGGTTATTTTTATTTAGTCAAGTAAATAAGTTAGTTTCGAGCTGAAAAGATTCAACTTTCATTTTGTAATTTTGTAATTCAGAAAAGTTTTTAGCATATTTGCATTCGAATACTAATTTTTTAAACGCAATTCAAGAAAATATCCAAATTTATTCTATTTTAATGCAAAATTATCAATATTAACAGATTAGTCTTCATTACCATTTCAGAAATATGCCATCATCGTTATTGCTGGGTATTTCCTTGGTAATATTGTTATATACATTAATGATTTTTTCATATTTTGTGGCTCTTACACCGCAGGAAGTGCTGAAAACAAATGCTATTGCTGCAGTGAGTTTTTTTTTTATTGCATTACAGATTTTTGTTACTTTTTTCAGGTTTGACTAATTACTTTTAAATTTACTGCAAAATTAATATTTTATTATTATTATTTTTATTATTATAATTTTAGTTATTCAGTCAAAAAGTATTTGGTCCCTTTTATTACGTCGTACCATTTATGATTGCGGTACTGATATGTGGCAGCCTTAATAGTAATTTATTTTGTTCAAGTCGGTATGTTTTTTGTAAAATGAAAAAAAATGAGATATTACCTTTATTTTCATTTAAATAGTAGGCAATAATCTATTCTGTTGCGATAATTTATTATTGCATATAAGTATATATCTCGCTGTTAACTTTATTTCTGTGTTATTTTTATTGCATTTAAAATTTGTTATATTTTCAAAAATTTTCTTCCAGTACGTAATTTACTCAAAGATTTGAAACATTTTTAATGAGACAATTTTAAGTTATATGCTAGCGGCAGCTCGCGAACGTCACTTACCCAAATTTTTAAGTTGCATTAACGAAGAAACAGGTAGTCCACGAGCTGCAATCGCTGCACAGGTAATTAATTTTAATCCGTCAAAATTTAAGTATGAACGCGTTTGTTAGAAAACATAATAATAATAGTAGTTATTATAATAATTATAATAATGATTATTATTGTTGTTATTGTTATTGTTATCTATATTCTTAAATTTGCAAATTTTTAAGATTATTATTAGAGTACTTTTATTTTTTAAATTATCATTATTTATATTCTTAATGTATGAAAATTTTTAAACATTTATAGTTGCTGTTAACTGTGTTGCTATCATTTATCAATGTAAATCGACTCATTGATTATGTCGCTTTTGTAATGGTGCTGCAAAAAGTTGCCGGAATCGCAGCTCTGTTGTGGATTCGATTTAAGAAAATACCCGTGAATGCAAGCAATACTTTACTTTATTAGTTTTTCAACATTTGAATTTATTTACTTTTAATATTTTGGACAGTATAAGAACGAAAACGTTGGTGTTAGTGATAAAGAAAGCAATGATTAAAAATGCAGTCATAATTGTCACCGCAAATGAAATTGAGTGTGATATATGAAGTAGACAGTTTAATCTTGTCAAATATCTGCTCTATTTCTAGATGACAATGATTAAGACTAGTAGTGACCAAATATGAAATGACCGCTCTTTTATTTTTTTTCAAATGAATTGTTTTCAGATGTCATTCGTGTTCCGTTATTTTTCATTCTGTTATTCTTCCTGTTTATGCTCATAGCTTCAATAATCCCAATAATATTCGATTTTACCACCCAGTTGTTAGCTGTTTTAATTATTCTCAGTGGATTTCCTACGTATTATTTTCTAGTCAAAAATGAGCACAAGCGATTTGCTTGTCTGAAATACATCGATGGTATGCTTTTCATTACACTATGCTAAAGACAAAAAGTCTAAACTAACAATTAAACCTTTCACAATGTGTTATTAAGTTTGTTCGCAACGTTCATCGAACAGTTTAATGTTTTATTCATTTATAAGCCTTAAATATAATGCAGTTATCTGAATAATATAATGTTATTTCTACCTTATGTGTATTAAAGTATCTCATGAAGTGTCTAAATGTCAGAAACTAGTATATCCCTAATATTCTATAAGGATATATTAACTTCCTACTACTACTCTGTAGGGATGTACTAATTTCCTACTATTCTGTAGGGATATACTAATTTCTGACATTAATGAGTTATTCTTCTTTATCCGCGTGAAAAAAACGCATCTTAAAAGAATAGGAAAGAAATTTGAAAAGCGTAGAAAAGGAATCAGCTGTACGTGAAAAATCTTCCTTTAATTTTGTGAATAAAAGATATGTAATTAACGCTAAAAGATAAGTTGACGTAGTAACGTAATGCTTTTGATCAAGCTGCACTCGAGATTGACCATTTTAATACTGTATTTAACGAATAACTTTGTTGTGCATACAATTCCATAAAATTTACATTGCAAATATTTACCCTTATCAAAAATAATGGCTAAAGAAGTGTACAAATTGAATATATTTGCGAGAATGAAATCTATATCCTTTCTCTAATGCATCCTTTGTCCACTAATTACAAACGGATAAAGATTAAGCTTCAGATAAAGCAGATTTATGTCATTCCAGCATTCTTCATCTTTATCATACTAATTAAAGTATTCTTCTCGCTAGATTCTACGCTTCAATATTTTTTAATTTAAATTAATTTATCCATCTATTTATCTATCTATCTATCTATCTATCTATCTATCCATCCATAAGAAATCATCTCTTTGCTCTGAGTATTATTGCCAATTTTTGACTCTGCGATGCATTTTAAATCTAAAAAATTTTACTATGCAACGAATTTCAGAGCATACCTGTGTGATTGGAATCTAAATTGTAGTTTATTTACTTAAACTTAAGTACTTAAACTTAAGTAAATAAACTTAAGTATCGTCTGTCTTATCTTGCAAAGCTGTTACTCATCTAAGAGGATTTGGTGAAAATAAAAAAAGACTTGTACGATTAAAAATTATCAGAGAGAAAATATAAATTAAGTTCTTTCGTTTCAGATACACTAGCGAGTATAACGATGAGAGTGCTGGATTCTAAGGTGGACGTAAAGTTTACAGAGATATCTGGAGATTCTGAAACACACGAAAAGTAGCATTTACTTACTGCTCAATCTTAATGATACTTTCAAGGACAGTTTTATTTTATGTTTCAAAAATTTTTGCAAGATGATGAAGCAGCTCACCTCAGTGCATCAAAGAAACATTCAGGTAAAGCAGACGGAATCTGTAACTATTACGTGTTTTTGAGATGAAACAAGCAGTTTCTAATTAATAGATTTAAGTGACTTTTTTCGGCCATTTCAGAATGGCAAGAATTAAGTTGTTTAATTGTTATTATTAATACATTAGCAAAATGTCTTTATATTCAAAATTCTTTTGTTAGTTATGAATTTTTTTGGTTATTAAAAAGTTTTTTTGTTCAAATGTTCTTATGCAAATCATCTCAGAAACAATTAATCACATTCAAAAGCATAAAATAATTGCAAATTTTGGAAATAAATTGGAAATGCATTGTGTAAGAAATGTCACATTTTACTTAAAATCAGAATTAAAACTTTTACTTAAAATCAGAATATGAAACTTTTTGTATCAACGGGAAAAAATTTTTATGAAAACAACGTTAATTTTACGCTAGCAAATTCGTATACAATACGTAATGCATGGAAGTAAAGTAAGTCAAATACTGAGAGACAAAGAACGTGTAATTTTTTTCTCGTCAATGAACAAAGTTTGGGATTCATTTAATATGTACATATCATTTCTAAATATAAACTATAATATAGTAATTAAATTGAATCGAAAAAGACTGATACTTTTTTACTTGTGGTCATTGGAATGCTTAGTTTTGGCTAAATGAACAAGTATTTTTTGATGGTTGCTATAGGAAACAGTGGTCGTAAAGTTCACGGAGATATCTGCAGATTTTTGCTAGGCATTGATTAATCTCCTTGACAACAAATAAATAAATATTCGAAATTGGATTACTTACCAACATATTTGCTCTTTTATTTTCACGCAGAAATGTCTGCATAAATTATTTGAATTTCTTGCCTTTTTATAATTTTTGACGTGAACTGTTGTTCTTTTCAAATTTTGAAGTGCTCAAATTTGATTTTTTTCCCATAGAATATTTACAATGTGTTTGATTAATTTGTAAGAATGGAAGAAAATGAAGACGGGAAGAAAATCGCAAATCAGTGCGACGAAAATGAAACAATCTGTTCGCAACAGTACAATGTGTATATATTTGGTGATGAACTGAATGATAAGCTGAAATTATTGAATTATGAAGAAAATTATGCAAATTTAGACATGAGTTATAGGACAATTTCAAGGTGTGCACTGAGCTTTTTGCATTTTCACAAATTTTTTTATAAAAACAGCAAAATGCAATGAATTACATATTCCTTTACATACATATAATTACAGTAATGACATCCATTTTATTGAGATTTTAATTGCTAATTTGCTATTAGATTTAGTCAGACTCATTAAACTTCTATTCATTACTTTGAAATCCGATCAAATGATTAAATCTTAAGTTCCAAAAAAATCAATAAATGAATGATTGAAGTGATTATTTGATCATTCTGCAGAGAATATTTTGTAAGAAGCACAAATGTTGGCGAACAATTTTTCATTTTTACTACATTATCAGCTTGGCTCATACGTATATCAGTTGACCCGAAATTTGCATTTCCACGAGAGGTCACGATTTTTTTTTTAAATCTGAAAACACTCAAAATTTTATCGGAGTATTATTTGTATTTCAATTCTAAAAATAAAACTTTATAGTCTGATGACCCAAATGGAGTAATTTCAAACATTTTAAATGTGCTTCGATCTAAAAATATATCCATAGATTTCTCGCCCAATAAACTCAAAAGTGGAGCAGGTGTACAGTGCTTGTATGTGTTAAACAAATTGGCAGATTTAGCCCTAATTGCAAGTCAATTCACTTGGGTCAGGTAACAACTGTAAATATCTCATTGACTGTTCTATACTTTACAGTATCCCATTCATGGAAATATTTTAGCAAAAAAAGTATATTAATACTTCAAAATACGACTTCTGTCTGCTTGATTTTAATTTATTGCAGGGCAGATCCTGTACGTGATGATGATGTTGAAGATGACGTGCTTATTGATGAAGCGGAAATCACGGCCGAAGAGGTTAAACAACAAAAAATACACTTTCAACTCACTTTTTTTTGAACTAACTAAACTAATTACTAAAAACTGCAAATATATATAGGAGTGAAAATGAGAATTTAAAATAAAACACAAAATTTGTTATTTGTAAAACATGGAGTAGATTTCAGTTTGAAGAGATTGATCAACAACAACAAATCGATATTGCTGATGATGAAGATCATGGTATAGATATAGATCTACAGGCTTTACCGTTGGTGGCAGCTTCTAAAGATCAAAATGTTAAGTTCAGTCAAGTTAATCTATTATAATAAAACAAATGTTGCTTATAATTTTTGCATTATAACTAGAAGTTGTAGGAACAACCACTAGAAAGCATTCTTAAGAGCGATACAGATGTAACTTCCTGGAAGGCTGAAGTAGAACGAGCAGCTCCACAACTCAAAATCATAATTAGACAAGATGCAAAGGTAAGCATAATTTTTCACATTAATTTTAAACATTTATTACTTGCAAAATGATGGGCAGTAATTGAGATGAGCAAACCCTGATTGCAATTCCTTCACAGCTGAGCTAAGGTCATTGCCAAGACCTGAAGCAATTAAGTTGGTTTCACAAAATGTTGTAATTATCATTTTGTTATGAATTATTAAAAGTATCTTAGGACTGGCGGAATCATTTGGAACAGATGCAAACATTGCAGACAGTTCTGAAGGAACTGCTGAATTCAGCACAACCACTTCTGAAGGGTCTTGCCAGTGACCTTAGCTCAACTATGGAGCGAATTGCTATCAGGTTCTTTGCTCATCCAACCACTACCTATCATTTTGAGCTTTTCTTTCTTTCTGTCTTTGTAATCAGTAATACTGCAATAACTCCTTCAGTTATTTACATGTTTCTAAGGTCACAATGTCGAAGGTTAAAAATCATCAAAATTCAGCGGGCTAAAGTCCATTCTCTGTATTGTGTATGTGTTTTACTTATTTATAAGCTGTACAAATTGACCACATTTAACATTTAACGAAAATTCAGAGAAAATCATCTTAACAATGAATTGCAAGCAGCCATGACAAAATTTCGCGCTGCAAAAGATAATTTGGCGGAGGCAAATGAAAAGTATAAGTAAGTTACTGTTGATACTTTTACGAGGGAAAAAATAATTAAAGTTATGTCTTACAAGATTTTGACCTTTCAACCCTTACAGGACAATTGGTACTGGCATTGCAGAGCGTACGGCAAAGTTACAGCGTGTTTGTGATGAACTCGAGCAAGTCAAGCAACAAATCGAGGAAACAAGCTCACGTAACAATGATGGAGGTAGCATTATTCATTCGTAATTCTACATAATCTATTAATAAATTCAAATTTGCATTTGAGAAAACAATTACTTGTTTGTTTTCAAAAATGTTCATTGATTAATTGCAGACTTTCATTTTGTCTGTTAAATTTTGCTTTGATTCTAAAATTTGAAATAAAAAATATTTGATTTTCGATGCTACCAGTGTTAAAATATGTATGCTTTGCTGCAATCTTTCAATATTATTTTGTTATATTTATTTTTTAGTTTTATCAAAATTAATAAAAATTAAAACATATTAGGGAATTTTATGTCATTGTGGGTGTAATATATAATAATAATAATAATTATTATTATTGTAATTATTATTGTTACTATCTGCCCGCCCGCCTGATCTTCTTGCTAAATAACCATTCCGTGCTCAGTAACAGAAATTGCAGCTCCAATGCTAAGATTGAAACAAGCGTTGCAAAAGATGGAATCAGAGATTGTTAAGATGAATGTGCAAATCAGTGTAATGCAGCAGTCAATTCTTCAAAGTCAACTGAAAAACCGCGCTGCTTTCAACGCTTACTTCTAAGACTTACAAAATTGATGTATTCTGAAAATAACACTTTTGTTTTATTTCTTTGTAAAATATGCTAATTTAGCTTCTTTCATTAATTTTTTTTTTGGTCTAAAAATTTAAGTAAGAAAGCACAAAAACAATGAATATATTTTGAGCTCATTCAGCAAAAAACGTCATTTAACGTTCAGATGTTTTTGTTTTTCAATTTGACGTGATCGTACGTCAAGTTGGTAATATGACATTAAATGCATACTTGTACTCATAATAAGATGAAATCATTGTAAAGAAGTTGTAACGTGAAAAAGAATATATCAACAACTCGTTGCTGCTTTGTTTTGCACTGCTTTTTAAGTGTATGCAATAAGTGCGCGACACACACTTTGTTTCTTGCTGCTAACTTTTGATGAAAGTGTTTTTTCCTTGCGCAGTCATAGCTTCGAACTAACACACAAAAAATACATTTACAAAATAAAAATAAAAGTAGCGAAAGCTTAAACTTAGCGGTTGATAATTTCGACTACTGCCATTCTTATCACACAGTAATTCTTCAACTTTATAAACTGCACAATGCAGGACTAACTGTAATGCATGTGACAAGGATTTCATTTTACATCAGCTGAATTTTTGAACAAATGGTGTTCAATTGCCTGAAAACCATTTCGAATTTAGCTATGCAATCACTGTTATCATTACTGATTCATTAATCTGATAAGAATTATCATGTACTTAAGAAGTATATCGTGTTATCATTATTGATTCATTAATCTGATAACTTAACATATGGCTAATGAATTTAAGATTTTTAATGTTTA